TGTAGGCATTTGAGCCTGTATGAGTCCTGTGGAGTTGGCGTTTTTCATTTATTCGATGGTAGACTCAACAAAGAAAGGTACATCAAAATTTTGGAGAACTCGCTTATTCCTAGCATTAATTTATGGCAGTTGCAAGATGGATTTATTTTCCAGCAAGATAATGTGCCGTGTCATAAAGCGCATGTTGTTAGTGATTGGTGCAATTCTAAAAAAATTCAAGTGCTTTCATGGCCTGCCAATAGTCCAGACTTAAATCCAATAGAGAATTTATGGTAGTGGCTTGATCACAAGCTTGGTAAAGAACAACTTTACAATTTGGAAGATTTGAAAATATCTATCTCTCATCATTTGAATAATGTGCCAGATGAAGTAATCAAAACTTTATTGAATTCAATGCCAGAACGAGTACATGAGTGCTTGAAAACAAATGGAGGAACAACACGTTTCTAAATTATTTTTTTATTGCTTTTTGAAATAATTTTGAAACTGGTCTTTAAATTTTGTCTAATTTTTTTTTCCATTTATATTTTTTACTAGTCAGTTTTTTAATTTTTTAACATTATTTTGTAAAAAAAGTTATAAATTCTTTTACAATAAATATAAAATACAATAAAAATTCTTTCTAAGAATGTTTTTCTTTTTTTTTTAACATCTTTTTCCAAAATAAAATTATACTAAGGTTAAAAATAAATTTTGAAAAAAAAATTAGTGGTCTTTAATTTTTAACCACCGCTGTATATACTAAGTCAAAAAGTCCTTTTAATTACAATCGTCGTTAAACAGTTAAATAACGCGTGATTTTCAATACGCGTATACGCGATTTCTAGCATGTATTACTACAATTCACCAGAACAAGAATACTTAAAACAAGTCTTTAAATACTAAAACCCTCTGTTATACTGTTGACATTTTTCAACGATAGTAACCTTTAATATCAGTTAAAAATAATTGATATTAAAGCTTACTTTTGGTTATCGATCAGTAACTTTGAAAAAAGAGTAAAAAAGATCCATTAATAACAGTGGAAAGATTTTATAAAAAACTCTTATAGGTATAAGATCAATATAAGGTGAGTTTTGTTCTGTAAAATCTTGATATATATATATTTTTTAATTTTGTTATTTAGGTGCCCCAAGAAAACCTAACAGTCTTGTCACAGAACACCACAGAAGCGCATTTAACTAGGAAGTTCCTTACCGTGACGTGAAAATATGTCCAGAGTTCGTTTCGAACCTGGATCTCATGCTTCTAAAGCAAGCGCTCTAACCACTGCGCCAGGGCCGCATATTATGATAATTTGTAAGTTTTACTTACATGATAAAATCTTACTCATTTGATTCAACAAGTTCCACATATCAATAGTTAACATTCTAGGAGTTTTGATGGATAAAAATGGAAAATCTTTTAAATGTAATATTAAATATATCAAAAATGAAATCTCCAGAATTGTTTCAATGCTTAATAGAGTTAAATCGTTTCCTAATATCGAGTCTTTCATTTAGTCATAATTATCATAATTGTCATAATTATCTATCCATTTGCAATTTTGCAAATCTATAGTAAACAAAAACATGCACGGAGGACTTTATTTGACGTTAACAGAAATGTTTATGAATCTCTAACTTCACCATTAACTTCATAGCTATTTATAGTTCTTTTGAAGATGATTAATTGACGTTTTTTTCAATAATATTTTGAAGAGCTTAAAATCTCATTTATTATAACGTTGCTATGGTTTTTTTAATTTTTTAATTTAATTGCAAATATATGATCATTTTTGTTAAGAGTTACGTACTATAAAATATCATAGAGTATCTAAAAAAAAAATATTTTTACAAAGGTTAATCCTGTTTATGTTTATTTATCTAATTACAATATGCATAATGGAAATTTTTACAAATAGTTTAAATTATAGAATACTTGAGTTTTGTTACCTATTTCACAAAGAAAAATTATGCTATAAGAAATTGCTAAAGTCTCTGTATATTATCTCTGTATTAGTCTATGATTATTAAAATTCTTTCTGGTTCTCATTAAATTCTAAATGTTTGCCAAAGTTAAAATATATTTTTTGGAACGTTTAAATAAATATGTTAATGTACCATTTTAAAATGATCTACGTTAATTTGGTTGTTTACCCAAAACTTCAAACTTACGGATTGTTCTATTACCTCAACGGCTTTTTTTCCCCAATGCTTATGGTTCCAAAGGTATGCCTCAATAGTTTATTCCTTTTTTCTAAATTTACAACATTTGTTTTTGAATTACTGTTAATATTTGATGAACTTAGTTGAGTTTTATAATTCTACTAATTAGTTTTTCGGTGGTACTTACGAACTGTTGTTTTTGAGTCAAAAAATTGTCAAAGGTTCGAAACAACGATTTTAACGTGTGCAATCTGTTTATAGCAAGATTGTTGTAAAAATAATTATTGTATTGTTATAAAAATAATTTTTAGAATAGTCACATTTGCGGCGAATTCAGATCTTTTTTTTGTCTTGGTAAAAAGTTCATTTTCACGTTGTGATTAAGAATTTAAGCATTTATTGATAAAGTTTTTAATAAGTAAGTTTACTTAAATCAACTTTTTTTTTTTTTGCCTTAAAATTAACTTGTTTTTTTTTTTGTTTTTTTTATATTTCTTTTTAAATTTTGTAGATTATTAATTAATAAAATTAAGAACTTGTTTCAGAGGCTCAGGTGCAACACTAGCGTTTTTTGGCATTTGAGACTGCCAATTTCTAGACATGAAGCTAGCTCTAAACATTTATATGTTTTTACTTTTGTCAAATAAGGGTGCTTTGCAAAAATTAGCGGTAATTGGAGCCTGGAAACAAAAAAGTCTTTGTAAAAGATTAAAATGACTACAGCCTAGGGTCAAAACTACTTTTTAGCTTTTGACCCTATCTTCTACTCCAAACGTGAGTGCAACGAGTTTGTAAAATATTTGTTTGTTTACTATTCTTAACTAAATTTATATTCATCAATAAATTTTAAGTTTTATAAATAATTAGTGTTCAAAAATTGAATAGGGGGGGGGGGGGAGTTGGAAAGGTAAATAAAAACTTTAAGATTTGGGATACCCAAATTTTCAAGCTTTATTGTTCCCTGTCTCAGGTTATTGCAATTATTTGCATCGGTATCGGAAATAAGTATAAATATAAATGTTTAGAGTATGCTCTGTAAACATAAATATTTGGAGTTACCCTTAATTTTTTTTTGAAATTTTTTTTTCTTGAATATTGAAATCGTAAAAAAACAAATATGCTTTAAACAACGCTCTTTCATGTCTTTTTCAAAGATTCTTTTCTGCTGGATTTTTGAAGTCCACTATTATATTTACTTCACTAAATTGTTTTGTCCAAATATGTCCGAGTTACAGGTTAAAAAGTTGGCAAAGATTTTAAATAAAGCTATAGAAAATAGGAGTATGTAGTTTTTTTACTTACATACTGCATACGTGATATAAATTACATACTGTGTATTAAAATGCAAATATTTATGTTAATATTTAAAACACAGACATAAATATTTAATACACAGTATTACAGACTGTGTATTAAATGTTGATGACTGTGTTTATATATTAGTTATTGACAATTCGATTTGAGTTTTTTTTGAAAATAAAAAGTGTACCGCCAAGAAAAATCTCATTTAATCAATATCATAGAACTTCTTTAGAATGAAAAGCAAAGATTTACTTATTTTAATATCAAACAAGTTTTTTTTTTTTAATTTTTTTATTTTGCAAGATTAGATAACAGTATTAAAGAAATACTTTTCCAATGCAGAGGGGGACATTTACTTAATATGTGAGTAACTATTGGAATGGAGAAGTGTTTAAATAATATGAAAAATATTGACAAAGAACAATGGTAATTACTAGATAATTTGCTTATAATAATAAGCAACGTCACAAAATTTGAAAAATATATTTTTAAATGAAATAACAATAAAACATAATCAAATTTTTGAAAATTTGAATATAAAATGTTTGAATTTTTTAATACATAAAAATTTGAACGTTCAAATATAAAATCACTAACACGCCTTTTTTTTTTTTTTTTTTAAAAATTTTTGTTATTGTTGCTATGCAACTATATACATTCCGTAATTTACTAACAAGATATTAGGTAGCAGGGGCGAGAAGAAGACTAATATGTCTTATCTTCAATCGTCTTGGTAAATTCCGTAAATTAATAATTTAATTTAAAAATAAGAAATTCCGTAAACTATATAAAATAAACAAATGTAAAAGTGGTAAAATAACAAAAAAAAACATTGATTATTAAAAAATAGCAAGAAACGCTATTGGCTTAAACTTATTTTTTTAAAACATGAAAATATTATTTAATTTTTATTTGAAGAAAAATCATGAAATTTTTTTTTTTTTTTTTTTAAAGATCAAACTTTAGAACACAAAACAAAAGTCTAAAAATCAAAAATAAAAAGAATAACAACACACATCAAACAAAGACGTAAACAAATTTAAAAAGTTATTAAGTACATTTAACTCAATTTTTTCCAAAATTACTATACTTTTCATTTATGATATAGATCAATCATAAGGGTATACTGCAGTTTCAGAAATAGTTTTCATTCTTTCTTGAATGAATGTTTTTATTAAAATTTTTATTCATACTCAGTTAACTTTATTATTAAGCCAACTTATGTAATCATGATTAATTGTTTTGATAAAAAAAAAAATTGTAAAAAGGTCTTTATAAAAATTTTAATTTGATATAGTTACACTTGTAATGCTTTTCAACAAATAAAATGAAACATCAATCTTTTCTTTATTATTATTATTATTAATATTTTTTAATTCTTGTTTATTTCTTTTAAGTTGGAAGAATTTTCAATAAAATTGTTAAAAAAGTAACTTTTATATATAGTTTTAGTAGAATATATATAAAAAGTATATTTTCCTGAAATAAAATGCATTTCAAATAATTTAAAGTGTTTTCTTTTGTTAGTTTGTTGTCATAAGATATCTGTTAGCATTGATAACATTCTCAAATATTTTTGAGAAACTATAATTACGCGGCTAACTGAAAAACAATCACTAGTTATCATCTTGGTTCACCTCCGATTTGCTTGTATAAACAATCGCAAACTTTTCTTAATAACAAGCGCTTTAAACTACGTCATTTCGCACAGTATTTGGAACTATTCAAGGTTAGAATATGTTGTTATGTACTTAAGGAGTTATACTATTTAGTAATAGGTCTAAATATGATAACAAATTATTAAAGAATGACAAAAATCATAAGAACGGTTTAACTTTTTTACAACTACAAAACATATTTTGTATTTTACCATATATTATATATTGTACAGTACCTAATAAATATTTATTAAAAAATTTAATTTATATACACATTTTATTATGTTTACAGCATAATAAAAGTTGCTTTTTACACAAAATGTTTGAAAAACCTTTTTAAAAATTGCTTGAATCTATTTCTTCTTTTTCTTTTATTTTATTTTTTATAATTGTTGTATTGAGAACACTTTTATTTATCATCAACTTATTTCAAAATGTTTAGTTGGAAAGTTACAGTACAGAATTATATCTAATAACTATTTATTAATAATAATCAGTTTTATTTTTTTACATTTTTTTTTAGTTTTATTCTTTCTATACGAAGCCTTTTTTTTATAAATAGGTTAATTCAAAATGTTATTTCAGATTGTATGTGGTTTAATTGCTCCTGTTGTGTTGTATATTATTGGATCATATTGTGTTCACTTGTTAGAATGCAAGAAATATCCTCCTGGTCCCATTCCCTTACCCGTCATGGGTAACTTGCATTTACTAGGAGCGGAGCCACATAAAACGCTTGCATTGTACTCAAAGAAATATGGAAATGTCTTCAGTATAAGTTTTGGAATGCATAGGATGGTTATAATTTCAGATATAGCTGCTACTAGAGAAGCTTTAGTTCAAAAAGCAACTATATATGCAGGGCGATCAAAATCTTACGTAGCTCAACTTGTTACGCGTGGATATAAAGATATTGCGTTTATGGATTATGGACCATTATGGAAAGTTTTGCGCAAAGTTGGGCATTCTTCATTAAAGATATACGGAGAAGGATACGGACGTTTTGAAAAGTTACTTACAAAAGAAAGCAAAGAGCTACATAAAAGAATTTTAGATAAATCAAATAGTCCAATGGAGTTGAAAACCGAGTTTGGTAAATATTATTTTTTGTTTTTGAATTTAATGTATGAAACAGAAATGTAAGCACCGTGTTTCATCGTCAGCCCTTTTTATTTATTAGATAAGAAGAAACAAATTCATGATTTTTGCCAGTATTTTTTTTAGTTTTTGAGTTAAATTAAAACTATATGCCTGTTTACGTAGTTATGTCAAACGTGGGTCTTATGTAAAAAATGCAATGAATAGAGTTTGGAGTATTCTTTTTTATCTAACTCATCAATCCTAAATTAAATGTGACATTTTTTTAATAGTTATTTAATTTATATATATATATATATATATATATATATATATATATATATATATATATATATATATATATATATATATATATATATATATATATATATATATATATATATATATATATATATATATATATATATATTCATATATATATATATATATATATATATATATATATATATATATATATATATATATATATATATATATATATATATATATATATATGAAATTTATTTCATTTTGGCAAAATATAGTATTCCAAAAAAATAAATATATCAAAAGGATGTTTAAATGGCCATTAAGGACGCTTCTAAACAGCTAAAATAATATTAGTCTTTGAACATAAACGTTTGTTCTTATCTTATTATTTCCTCTAGATAAGTTTTCCAAATATATGACTTCTGACATTTGAAAACTTTTAACGGTTCATTTGTCAAAATGTAAATAAATATGTAAATAAATATAAGTCTTATAATTTTATTTTTTAAAGCCTTAAATAAAAAAAATTGTGAAATAAAAACTAAAAAAGATTTGCTAAACAATTCAGGCATCTTAGATATCATACTAAAACATAAATTGTACACAAAAACGTTATCGAATGCAATAACAAAATATATCAATAAAAAAGCAGTGATATATAAAAATTGGCCCAAAAAAACTAAACATTTAATTTAGTATTTCTAATATCCTCTACATGTTTGTTTGCAAACTACACATCCTTTGTGCATTGATTCAACAAGATTGTTAGAACTCTTATCCAATTAGTATTTAATTCTTGCTTTAGACTACTCGCGAATCTTCGACTTCGATTATAATCAAGTTGTCCATCAAAACCTAAGTAGATTATATATTTTTAAACCTGATCATTGAGTTAGTCTGAGCTGTTTTACTTCTTTTTTTCATGCTTTGACTGTACGAGTATACGAGTATATTCTACAAGATATGGCAGGCGCTATATCTTGTAGAAACTGCTATATCTTGTAGAAACTTATTACTTTAAGAATACTTTCATCACTGAAAATCATTTGCTTTTACTTTTTTAAAGACCACTCAATTTTCTCCATACACTACCTAAATTTTGTGTGTCCGTCTTTAGGCGTCGATATGGGTTTTCTAACAGTTGTATAAACAATTTTCCGATATGTTTTTTCTGTAAAAATATTTTCCGGTATGTTTTTCGCTAAGTTCGGTAAGTTGATAAAAAAGAAGCAACAAAAATAAAACTTGTTATTAACATATTATTTCTAAAGAAATCATTTGACCAACATGTCTTTATCAAACATGGTTACTTTTTACGTAGGTCTCTAATAGTCTCTATCGAACATGGTTATTACACGGATTTTATGCGTATAAAAAAATGACATATTTGTATTCTCCTTTTGTTTATCAGTTTCCTGTATAAAAATTGAACTTTTGTTTAAAAGTAACTGAAAAATAATTGGTTTTATTTATTTTTTGAGAAAAAGTCACCCCTCACTGGCAGGGCGATCCCGAAGAGAATTTGGAAGGGTGACGTGTCTGTTTTTTGCCGACTAAAGCCAAATTGATTTTTTTGACCACTATCTTATCAAAAAAAAAAAAAAAAGGTCCTCGTTTTCCGACATTTGCCGACTGCCAACTATAAATTCAATTTTGCCGATTCCAGTGTCCAATTTACCGTCTAATCCAACTAATAAAATTCGTAGACCCCCCTCTCGGGACGGCCCTGCTCACTGGGTCTAATAAAACAATGAAGTTTTTATTCTCCAAAACCATTGGGCGCAAGACGTCTAAATAACGTTTTATACGTTTTACGTTTTTAATACGTTTTTTTAAACAACTTAAACACAACTTGTACCCACTAAAAATGTAAATCAATCTGGATCTCAAAAGAACCAGAATTTTATTAAGATTTTAAAGTTTATAACTTTTTATTACACAGTGGTGTAAAAGATATTAGGATTGTTTACAAGTTTTACCAGTTTCTTTGATTGATTTTCTTGGTGTTTGTACAATTTTTTCTTTTTAAATAAATACAAGTAGCTAAATATATTTTTATGTTAAATAAATTATTTTATTGTAAACTTAAGATTGTAACTTTATTAAATAAATTGGCTGAAAATTTTGCCATAACGTCTTGAAGAGTTTTTTAATATGAAATGTGCATTAAAAAAGGTATAATACAGCTGAAGGGGGAACGAAGTAAAAATAGATCGTTTTTTAAGAAACAGTCTTTGTAATAACATAATTTTCAAGAAAATAATTTTAAAATTAACTAATCACCATTTACTTTTAAAAAAACTATCCATTGATGATGTTTCAAAACGCCATTCAAAGCATTGCAAATGTTTAATTAAATTGATAATCAATATTTACTGATTTAGAGTTTATAATAATTTATTTATGTTATGTCTTTTGAAGCAGCTTTTAATAAATTTGTAGATTAATATTTAATTTATGCCTATTTATCTATACTAGAATTGGTAGTATTTTTCCCAAATATACAAAAAGGTATTTTATATTCCTATATTTAAAGTATGGCTATTTTTTTAAAATCTGACAATAATAGAACAATACAATATAAAATCCCGGAGAGATATAATAAGTTCTTTGCCAAAAAAAGTTTTTAAGAACGTAACAAACCTATAGCTAAATGGTATAGCAAAAGATAAGCTTCAAACAAGTAGTCGAGATTTACGCCTAATTTTCTATTCTACCTTCTTTATGCAATAAAATGTTTGATTTGGATAATTTTTTAATAGTATATATATTGGTGTGCGAATTGGTCCGCAAAATACCTTTTTTCAAGATTCAAAGCTGTTAAAAAAAAATCTTATTTGAACTAAACGTAAGTATGCTCATTCTTAGAGCAAACAGAGCGTTTTTTCCAAAAGTTTTAGTAATTGCACCCAGGAAACAAAAATACTCCTAGAGCTCACCTCTTCTATCTTAACATGCAGAAAAATAGTTGATAAAATATTTAGTTCACTATCTTATACTAAATTCATTCTCAGCTTTTCAATTTCATCTAATTATTTTTTAGTGTTCTTAAGTTACGACGATGTAAAATTTACAACCCCTTCGTTTTGATCACATTTATACACGCTAGAATATTAGAAAAAAATAATACCGCACTTTCACAGTTAGCTCTATATGTTTTTATAAATAGTTGAAATAGAAACAAAAATAACTTTTATAAGGTTAGAAATTCGATTCGATTGGCATATACATAGATAGATATATTTGAGTTACTTATAGGTTTAAAGTTATTTTTTTATTTGATTTATTTTTTTGTTTTATAAATATTTATTTACTTGACAAACTCATGTTTAAAAATGTTAAATTATTATATATTTTTAGGTGTTGCGGTTTTAAATGTGATTTGTTTTATTGTTTTCGGAGAAAGATATCAGTATTCGGACCCAGCTTTCATTGAAATACTTACAACTATAAACAACATAGTTTCTGGGTTGTCGAATACAACAGCTGTTGATTTTTTGCCTGGGTTGCGTTACTTACAATTTTCTGAGATTAAAAAATTGAAAAGTTCACTTGTAATATATTTTCGTCTTTTAAATGATCAGTTGAAAAAACACAAAAAAACATTTGACGAAAATAACATAAGAGACTTTACAGATTCTATTATAAAGTTCTCTAAAGACGAAACAATGGAAAACAAATTTGAGGAAGAACTCACAGATGAACATTTAGAGCATGTAATTGGTGATATGTTTATAGCGGGTAGTGAGACCACATTAACATCTTTATTGTGGTTAATTATTTACATGATACATTATCCAAAATATCAGGAAGAAATTTTTGAAGAAATAACTAGGGTTATTGGAGAAAACCGATATCCACAATTAAGTGACCGAGATTCTTTACATCTTGTGAAGGCTTCTATAAAAGAGTGTTTGCGTTTATCTTCAATTATTCCTCTAGGAGTACCGCACAAAACAATGAGTGACACAACTCTCATAGGATACAACATTCCTAAAAATACTACTGTAATTATAAATCATTGGCAAATTCACAACGATACGAATCATTGGAAAAATCCTAACGAGTTCAACCCTCATCGATGGATTGATGACGATAGCAAGTTTGATGCAACCAGAGCAACAAGTTACTTGCCATTTTCAGCTGGAACCAGAGTTTGTTTAGGTAAAACAGTTGCTGAAACTGAGCTTTTTTTTTTCTTTACCAGGTTGATTCGTGATTTTAAATTTGAAGGTGTGCCGGGTTGTCCGCTTCCAAGTTTAATTGGAAAATGCAGCATTACCCTTGCTCCTGAAGAGTTTAATGTACATGTGACACCAAGAATAAACAGCCTTATGTTTAGCAAAAATGTTCTGCCAGAATAACATTATTGAAATTATACGTATAACCCCTACCCCGTCCTTGTCCTTTTCTATTACATTTACTGCGATATAAATTATTTTTTAATTTGAGTTTTAAATTTTATCCATTTATAAGCATAGTAATAAATAGTAAAATTTGTTAAATATAAACATTATATTTGTTATTTCTGTCGTACTTTTTAAATACACTGATGCCGCATTGGCCATGCATTGTTTTTTCTTATTAGTTTTTTATTAGTATTTAAAAACAAATTGTAAAAATATTATATAACGCAATATATTCCAATTATAAACTATGCTTTTTAATTTTTGCAAATTTTTGTCGTGAAATGCAGGTAAATGAAAATTTAATGAAAAGCTTTACATTTTTTTAACATTTCCTTTGAGAAAATCAGTTAAAATTGCTTAGCTTTCCTGAACTCTGTGGTAGCTCTCAGAGAGGTTGATTCCATCAACAGACTTAAGGTTAATTAACAAGACTGAAAAAAATGCATAGCTCATTGCTTAGGAGGCCGTTCTCTATTTATAAATGAGTCAAGTTCTCTTTAAACTTAAATCATTCCAAAAGTAAACCAAAATATTAAACATAAAGAACCATCCTCACCACCTCACTGTTTTAATATATCTTTTACACATATTTGTGGTTTGCAAAGCAACTTCCCATCAGTTGAATCTTAGCTCTTGTAAAATTTACCAAACTTGCTTGCTCTTAGTGAGACCAATTTAACCAACATAAATTCTACTATTCCTTTTTCAGATATCAGTGTTGATGGGTATTATCCTTTGATTTGTAAATACTCCAATATTCACAGGCTTGACTTGGGGGTATACATACATAACAATTTACCTATTTGTCGTGAAATCTAATTCAAATCCTTTGACCATTCTTTTATGTGCTTCCGCTAAGCACCTCTTCACTATCACCTTTCTCTTATTTTTCTCCTTCTTCCCAAAATTCCACTCTTTTAGATGTAATTTCTAATCAAACTGACCATCTTTACCCAATATGCTCATCACACTGAATGGCTTGGTTTTAAAGCCACTGACACTGGTGTCACTAAAGCTTGTAACTTCTGCATTTCTCAATCTCTTACTCAGGTATCTTTGTGACTCGTTTTCCTGACAACCCTAAGTGTTTACCTTCACTCAATAGTTTATGTCTTGTCTCTGATCCTAAATTGTGTTCAGTTTCCCTTTTTTCTCCCTGAGGTGGTTCTGACCATGCAATGATCTCTTTTTTTTATCTCGTTTTATAACCTTACCCTTAAGCTGAGTAGAATTCTTTTTTTGATTTTCTTTTTTCTCTCAGCTGATAAATGCGCTTCCAACGCAATATCCTGGATTCAGACAGGAATTGTAAGAAATCAATATATTCACGTAAGCTCTATTATTTTCAGTTCACTAAATCTCGCGTCTTATTTTGGAAGTTAGGCACTAGAGACTTTTGAAAATCTTCAACAGCGTTGTTAATAAGGGCAGGTCTAAAATTACATTTCTCATTCATAGGACTGATCTTATTATATCTCTCCCGAGGATAAGGCAGAAATTTTTATTTGCAGATAACTTTTCTTCAAATTCAAATCTTTAATTTTGTAGCCATACTCTTCCTTCCATTCCAATTAAACAGGTTACCCCATTGTTAGATATTCAAATCACTCCAGTTTCCGTTGCTAAAGTCATATCTCAATTAAACTTTTCTACGTCTTTTGGTCCAGACAACATTTCTGTCATAGTCTTTCAAAATTTTCTCCAGAACTCTATTCAATTCTCTCTAAATTATTTAATAAGTGCTTGACTGAGTCTTATTTTCCTGCATGCTAGAAAATAGCATCTTTTGTTCCAATCTTTAAAAACTCCAATGAAAATTCTGACCCTTTGAAATATTATTCAGTTAAGTTATTAGCAAAGTCTTTGAGTCTTTGATCAACAAATTTCTCACATCTCATCTTGAATCAAATAACTTACTGTGAGACAATCAATACGGTTTTCGATCCTCTCCCTTTACGGCTGACTTGTTAACTGATGTGACTGAAAGATTTTATCGTGCATTAGATGAAGGCGGAGAGGCTAGAGCTATTGCTCTTGACATATATAAGGCTTTTGACAAAGTTTGGTATGCTGGTCTTCTCCATGAGCTTGTTTCGTATGGTGTATCTGGGAGAGTTTTTGAGATTTTCAAATCATCAAAATCATCCTCAAAGGCCAACACTCGTCTTCATTTACAGTAACATCTGGGGTACCTCCTTGGTCCTGTTTTTGTTTTTATCTACATTAATGATCTTCCCAATAACCTTACCTCTAAAGGTCCGTTCTTTTTGCTGATGACTTAACTTTATACTTCTGTCTTTACAAAATGTCTTCTTTTTGAATGCTTAGAACAGACATCCGACCTTGAATCTGATATCACTTCTGTAGCAGATTGGGGCTTGTAAATTTTAACTCCAACAAAACTCAGTTATTTACTGCAAACAACTATCCCAATACTTTCGACATTCTTATATTAATGGCAACCCTCTCACTGAGTCCTTTTTTTTACGTTTTCTTGGATTTTTTTTTACTTCTGACATTTCATGGAAACCATATACACAACCGATTGCTAAATTAGCATTTGCTAAGGTTGCTTCTCTTTATTGTGCTCACCATTTTCTCTCTTCCTCTATAAATCTCTTATTTGTCCCTGTATGGAATAATGTTGTCATATTTAGGCTGGTTTTTCTGATGATGTTCTTTCTTTTCTTGAAAAGGTCAAAAACGCATAAAAATATCTTTTGGCAGAAATTCTGTTAAAAACCAATCAAAATAAAATGTACATAACTTTAAAGTTTTATAAATTTTCTGAAAACTTTTTACATTGCATACAGATATGATAAAAAATTAAATTTTGTATTTTTACAACCAAAAAAAAGGCTGAACCCATTATAAATCTCTTTTGCAAAATGTATCGTAGTAATTTAGGTTCTTGCATAACAACTTGTCTGAATGTAATTATTTTCAAAACTTTCTGCATTTAATATCTTTTTTAATTGGCTGCATTTAATATAATCCGCTCTTCGTCCTGAGTTACTTATTTTTTGCGCTATGTTTGGCAATGGGATTAAGAGCTTGCAGATGATTTTACGTTAATAAGTTTTTTTTTCATTTAATTTGAACAGCTTTGCTTCTTAACTGAAAAAGCAAAGCTACTCAAATTAACTGAAAGATCTATATTACTGTACCTCTTCTTCTTTTTTTTATTTATCTATATTACTGTATTTTGTACTACTTTGACCATCAACCTTTAGAAAATTAGATTGCCTAAACTTTTACACATGAGACTTTTTTCTTAAAAGCAACTCTTTATCTTATTTACCATATTGCTTTACTTTTTTTTTTTGTAGTGCTTTAAACTTGTCAGACCTTAAAGTTACTGTAGCTGTTTCAGAAGATAAAGGTAAAGGCATTGTTAGCAACGGCATTGAAGGTATTGCTTGATTAAATTTTATAAGAAAGCTAATTCACGTTGATTAATTTTTTTTTGTTGATATAAAATATCTTGAAAACCAGCAATATTGTGCAAAGGAGTAAAATATTTGCCTCTTTTATATACCTGTTTGAGCAATGATTGTTTATCTAAGTTCTTGCATTTTGTATCTTTGTAATTATTGGTAAGAACTTGTGCCTTCTACAATGGTTTAACATGGCAATGAGTGCAATTTATTTTTTACTGCTGTAGATGACAGTGTTGCTCTATCACGCGGACGTGTCTAAAGTTTAAAGGATTCTTGTTTATTATGTTATTTATATATTTACGCCAAGCATGTATGCTCTCTCTCCTGCCGCTCTCATTTCTCTTTTGTTTGCTTGTCTTCTCTTCTACCATGTTATCTTGTCACCTCTTATATAATTTTACTTGAGTTTATTATAAAACTTTTAGATTATATTAGGAGTTGTTATTTATTATATTAAAGAAGAACACTGACTTCGTAAGTTATTATTGAAATATAATTAGAATAAATTGTATTCAAGTAACACAAGAGATAAATCGTTGCGATAGCAATGACTAACATCCTATCATCATAAATACCATCATATGTATCATCATCATAGATACCATTATATGTATCATCATCATAGATGTTATCATATCTATCATATCATAGATGTTATCATATGTATCAAATCACCTACCGTCGATAGGTGATATGATGGTAGGCGTTTAATTCATTACAATACAAAACAAATTGAGTTGCAAAAATTAGGGGAGAAGGGGACACATTGAGACAGCTTTTGTACTAAAAAAATGTTTCAATTTTTACTGAAAAAGATAATTTAGTTAATAACTCTTTAAAACAAATCCCAGCTAGTTCAAATAAATTATAGTTGCTTTTTAAAAAAAAAAAATAAAGCTACTCTTTTTCTAAAACTACCCCACAAAAGAAGGTAGTTTTTGACAACATTAGAGCAGTATAGGAAATTTGATAAAAATTCAAAATGTTTCATAAAGTTTCATTTTTTTATTGAGAAGTAATTATATACAATAGCGTTGTATAGAGAATTTTTACAGCAGAATTATTTTTATAAAGATATATAACCATTAAATAATTTTCTTGTATATTATATTCAAGCAAGCTAAAATGAAAGTTCTTTTAAATCACCTATTAACCTCATAAATACAAAAATATTAACTTTAAAAAATAACAAATTAAAGATTTTGAATGTAAAATGGATTGAGATGAACATAAATATAAATTTTCTTGTAACCCAATTAAAAAATAAAGTTCATAACATTCAACCAGGTTTGATTGCGGAAATAGAGTACTTGGTGGAAAAGTTGTTAATTTTTTATTTTTTATTACTTCCAAGCATTTTTATTCTGTAAGCCAGGTGTGGCTAGACTTTTTAGGATACGGGCAAAAAAAAGTTAAAAAACAATTTTGCGGGCAAAAAATATTTATTTCTACGAAAATATAGGTGACTAATAGCTATTATAATCATTTGTATCAAAGCAATATAATTATTAAGAGTGGTGAACTTGACCGTCTGTAACTAGTTTTTTAATGTCTGGATTGATTTTTGAGGTAGATAGAAGTATCACATTACCAAGATGGTTGTCTTCTAAATATCCAAAGCGTTTAAGGGCATTTAAAAAAGTCTCTGCGGGCATTTTTTTGTCCGCGGGTAGTGGTTTGGCCACCCCTGCTGTAAGCCAATGTACTTTTTGAGAACCTAAATACACCTGCAGCGTCTCTTAGATTCATTGTTTTATTAAAACCATATTTTATTGCAATTTTTTAAACTTTCTTGGATTATATATCTTTCACATTTCA